CACCTTTGAGGACAGTGACTGCCGTAGCTGGATTGGAGTAGGCTTGAGGAGCAGTCCGCCATATTGAGAACTTCACAGCGTTGAACGGCGTCGTGAAGATGCCATTCGCGAGGCCTGCTAGTGTGCCAGCGAGCCAGGCCCCTCCAGCTTTCTCGACCAGGGGGGAGGATAAGAACTGAAGAAGTGAAAAAGATGTGGTATTAGATCGCAACGAAGGGGGTGATACCAATTCCTCCATAGGAAAGTATAGTCCGAAGCTGACAGCCTTCTGGAGCACCGCCGGGCCGACGCCCTCAAAATACTGCCCTGGTCGTTGGGGCCAATTCCGTCGGTCCAGGAAGCTCCTATGGTACCCCGAGGTATCCTTGCTGTGCTTTATGGTGAGATAAAGTGCTCTATCTGAGGAAAGACGGAATACAACTATGAAAGGGAGAGGGTATACGTGAGTGCTATCAGCACCTACACTAGTCGCTGCGTGAGAGAGCAGTAGAGCTATTAAGACAATATAGCCGAGTATAGACTCTTTACTACCATATGGGTTGAATATTAAAGACTGCATGAGGCCGGCATTCAATCCGCACATCATGAGCCCAATGGGGTGTTTACTCTGACCATCCTTCGAATGGGTATATTCTCTAGCATACTTCAGGAGGGTCCTGTATGGTGACACACCACCACCACCACCTGCCGACTCATTTTCTGGTCGTATTGACATATCCGGAGTAGAAACAAACTACACTTACTGTGCAGACGACTCAATACAACAACAGGAAATTGCAGAAACGACGATGACGACGACCTATCATGGTGGCATCAATTTCGACCTGCCAGGAATCTTTTGTTTTTTCCAACATCGCTTATCCATAGCCTCGACCAAAGCCGCCCGAAGTTCGGACATACCGTGCCCATCTTGTGCACTCACACAGTGTACGTAGGGCCAAAAGGTAAGCTGAGGCCGGCAAGGACAAGATCGTTACTGTCGAGGGGCCAGGGGGTACTACGTCGTATTCTTTCTGCCAGTACTCTATCCGCGATAAGATGGAGGCTACCTCCTCGTGAAGGGTGGTGGGAAGGACTCTGTCCACTTTGGTGAGGACCACCATCAACCTAGATTTTATATTCCTACGGTAGATATTCCTATTAGTACCTCGGTGGCGGCGGCCCTTCCTCCATAATACTACGGTTCTCCATCGATCTAACCGTCAGCTTCCAGAGATACTCATCGGTCGACTTAACCCCTTCAATGACGTCTATCAATGACACCTGTCAGGCTAGTATCTGTTACGAAGTGAAGAAGGAGTGGTAGGATGATTACGACTAAACGTAGATTGTCAGCCCTCTCCATATACTCCCCCACAAGGGCCCTCCATTCTGCCTTCTGGTCAGCGTCGATTCCCTTAGCAAACCCCAACCTGAGCCACTCTTCCTCCCTCCCCCCTCGACCGTCGGCCTACCCTGGTAAGTCGACTATCCTTAGGGGCCTACCCTTACCCTCTCTAATGTGCTCATCTCTGCCCAAGTCGAACGTGAACAGCTGTCTGGTCCGACCAGGAGTCTTAGAGGCTCTAGCGACCTGAAGATGTGTCGAAGGAGTGGTAGGAGAAGCCCTACCTGTCGACCGAACAACAAGCCGTTCACCAGACTAGACTTGCCAGCATTAGATCGGCCACAGAAGGCGACCTATTCGACTGCCATCAGCAGCCCCCCCCCTACCCCTGGGCCCTACCGTTGGCACCCCATGCCCTTGCTGCAGTCTATGGAGGCTCTGTCGTACCAATACTGGATGGGCCGCAACACTCCTTCGGAAGAACTCATCAGCCCCCTCCAGGTGACGTAAGAAAGTCGCCTTGTCAGACAATAGGGGATCTGAGGGAGTGAAGAATCTTCCGGCTGCGCACTAGCATATCTTAGGTCCCACCTGCTTGGATACGCTCTGTAGGATTCCACAACACTCCCGTGTTGACCACATCGAGAGGTATGAAAGGTCGAGCCAGGAAGGTCGGCGGCTGTTGGACCGGAGGACCCTTACTGCTTAGAGAGGCCACCCCTGCTACACGACCCCGAGGCATGGATGCTCCTCACCAGACGGGTAAGCACTCAATTCTTGCTCTACTTGCTTTTACTTGCATTTCCTCAACGGTCTGTCGTCAGATCTCGTCGTATATATTTGGTTTTTACTCAGCCATACTACTTCGGCGTATTCGGTCGGTTTTGATGTCTACAACAGAGTCCACAGGGAAGAACTTCATTCAAACTGCGATCGACCAGGACCTGGCTCCCGGAGGAAGGTATCTTAGGTTCAAGTTGGCAGGATACAGATTAGGTCCGAATCAGGTGCCATGGTAAGAAGATCGTTACTCGATTCCCTCCTGAGCCCAACGGATATCTGCATATTGGACACGCTAAGAGCATTTGCCTTAACTTTGGGCTGGCCAAGCAATATGGTGGTACTTGCCACTTGAGGTATCTTAGGTTGCCCCTAGGAAGAAACAAATCAGGTCGGCTATAGGTTCGATGATACCAACCCCAGTGCTGAGAGTGATGAGTATGTGAGGAGCATCCAGGAGGACGTCAAGTGGCTAGGGTAAAGTCTCTGCCAGGGATCGAACCTCTGCAGGTTTTGCCTCGTAGGTTCGACTGGGACGACAACCTCTTCTTCGCATCGTCCTATTTCGATCAGCTGTAATACTCCCCATCCCTCCACACCGACCTACCCTCCCTCCCTCAGTTACGAGTGGGCCGAGTATCTCATCAACAAGGGGGAGGCTTATGTGGATCTCCAAACCCCCGACGAGATCCGCATCAACCGCGGCAATATCAATACCCCCGGCACCAACTCCCCAAACCGTGACCAGACCCCCGAGGAGAACCTCCGACTTTTCCGAGAGATGCGGGACGGCAAGTTCAAGGAAGGGGAAGCCTTGTTGCGAGCCAAGATCGATATGGCCTCTCCCAACATGAACATGAGGGACCCTCCCATGTATAGGATCCTCCATAAGGAGCATCACAGGACCGGCAAAAAGTGGTGTATCTACCCTCTATACGACTTCGCCCATGGAGAGGAGGACGCCATTGAACATATTACTCATTCCATCTGCACATTGGAATTCGAAAACCATCGAGAGCTCTATGACTGGTAGTAGGCTGATGATGTGTGAGAGTGATGGTACTGGCCCCTTGGGGTAGGTTCTTGGCACATCTACCCGTACCCTCCCGACCTCATCAGTATGAGTTCGCGAGGCTGCAGGTTACCAACACTATAATGAGTAAGAGGAAGCTGCTGAAGTTGGTGAACTCACGTAAGGGGATGACAACGGTACTACTCACTATCTCATTGGTATCTTTAGACTCTGTACGTGGTTGGGATGACCCTAGAATGCCAACGATTTCCGGTATGCGTCGACGAGGTGTGACCCCTAAGGCCCTCCGCACCTTCTGCCAGAAGGTAGGGGTGTCCACCAGTCTGAGTACTATTGATAGTGTACTCCTAGACGAGTGCATTAGGGAGGATCTCGAGGTCAGCAGCTTGTGGACCTATTCGGTATGAGGATGCCTTCCATTTCAGGCCAACTCCAATCGTAGGATGTGTGTGGTGAATCCAGTGAAGGTCTACATCGAGACCATGCCCGACGAGGAGGTAGGGCTCCATCGTGCTACCATTGAGTCCACTCTCCCTCTCAGCGTATCGAGGTGGAGGCACCGAACCATCCTGGGATGCCTGAGGCGGGTAATAACAAGATGTGTACCCAAACTTGATCTGCGCACAGCGAAGATTTTGGTGGAATCTCTCAGGTTCCCGCAAGTTGTATTTGCGCAACCGACTTGTAATTGAATCGAGTGATTTCCGCATAGACCCTCCTGAAGGGTTCAAGAGGCTCTCACTAGGCGGAAAGGTAATACCAGCAATTGAACAGATCTACCATCTTCACCGCGCCACAAAATTAGGTGAAACTACGTTACGGGTACGTTATCAAGGCCGAGCGAGTGACCCCTGAGGGAGTGGTCATCTGCAGTCATGACCCTGATTCCCTTCATGGGGAGGGAAGCCTTCCTAAGGACGTCAAGGGAGTCATCCATTGGGTACCATCAGGCTGGTCAGTAAGGGTTCATACCACTCCTTTTCTACATCGTAGGCGGTCGATGCTGAGGAGAGTAATGAGGATGTAGTGCGGGGCACAGTCAACTGGTATGAGAATCTATTATTGCCAGAGTCGGCTCCCACTGGTAATCATTTTTGTGGCGCGCGGTCAGCAGCACTATTAGACTTTTCAGATGAGGGTGCCACCTCGGAGGAAGAAGCATCCATGGTACCTGGCACAGCGGAGGTGGAAGAGGCTGATAAGGATGGTAATGGAGGAGATCTGTTTTACTATTTTTCCATCAGTTCTGCTCAGCTTGGTTATCCCAATTGAATCCTAACAGTCTTCGAGAGTATAAGGCCTACTTCGAGCCCTCCATGGCTGAGGCTAAGGTGAGCACGGTCCCCTATCGGTCTCCTCTCTGATGGTCCTCTTCAGCCGATGGAGACTTTCCAATTCGAGCGTGTTGGTTACTTTGTCGTTGATAAGGATTCCACTGCTGATCAGCTTACATGCAACCTCACAGTCACTCTCAAGGAGAGTGGACTCAAGAAAACTGAGGGGAAGCACGCGGGGTAGTAGTAGTAGTAGTAGTAGTAGTAGTAGTAGTAGTAGTAGTAGTAGTAGTAGTAGTAGTAGTGCAAGATGCCCCTGTCGATGGTCATTGACCTCCGTCCCATCAGTCGTTCTCGTAAGGAGGCCCAAGCAGCCCAGCTAGCCGAGAAGGAGGCTAAGAAGAAGATCAGGCCCGAGGATATGTTCAAAGGTTCGTACCACTCCTTCTTCACTTCGGGTGTGCAAGTAGTGTCCTCAGAGCAAACAGACAAGTACTCCCAATTCGATGAGAGTGGCATCCCTACTCACGACGCAGCTGGAGAGAAGCTCGCCAAGAGTGCTTATAAGAAGCTTCACAAGGAGTGGGAGAAGCAAAGACGCTTGTAATGACAATGCCTTTGGAATACTCCCCGACACATGGGCCACTTCGACAGGTACGAGAGCAACCACTGAATCCACACAGTCCTTAGCCGCTGATCCTTCATCTATCGTTAAGAGTTTCTTCTACGTTCCTCTTGGCGCTTTGTAGTTGTATTGCAATTCCTTGGAGGAGGGAGTTCAGTTCGACTAGGCCATGTTGGGCTCAAAACTGAAGCCTTTACCGACAAGTATACTCTTCCATAGGCGACTGTTCCTCGTCACTGCGGTCGGCAGTCCACTTTATGTACGATTTAGTACAGTCGTGAATGGTAAGGCATCCGGGGAGTGCTTCAACGGCTACCATGCCACGCCGTGCCCCCTCCTACTCTTACCCCCAGCAGAAGAGGGAGACAATTCAGTTAAAGCAGCAGTACGAAAGCATACATCACGACGGGTGTTGGAGGAGGCCCACGTCGACCCTATACTGGCGAAGGCTAAGAAGGCTCTGTGGAGGCTTAGTGCTGTTCCGGACGGTAGGGAGAGGCCTTGGGGAGGGCCTGGTTATTGAGTCTGATGGTTAGAGATCGTCGATCCATGTGATGAGGCGGAGGTGGTCCGGTGGTATGAACGGAAGCTGGCGGCTAAGGCGAGTAGGAAGGTAGAGAGGCAGAAGGAGAAGGAGGCACTTGCTACGAGGAAGATGATACGATTGGGTAATTTTGTGGCGCAGTGACGGTATCGCTAGGTGTTGATGGCGTCACAGGGAGGTTGGCCCTTCGTCAGCTGGACATGGGAAGTCTCCGTCCTCGTGAACTAGTGGCAAAGGCGCCTAAACTGAGGTCTCTGCTAGATCCCAATACCATCCCTTCCTCAACTGCAGAGGATCACGAGATGTACTACCTCTGGAGGAGAGCTCCTTTAGTCCTATGCTGTAGATACCGGTGGTACGATGAGGTTTGTCGGGTCCTTACACCAGAGGGTGGTGACCCTCCTCCGGTAGAGCAGAGGAGGGGGAGGAAGAAGAAGCAGCCAATGGAGGAGGAGGGCCAGTCGGTGGAGGCGGCAGCCCTTGCAACAGGATGATGTCATGGCTCCACGATGACTACCGATAATTATTACTCTGGTTTTACTTTTAACCTTGCTGCCGCTATCGATCCTCGCGTTGAGGCCCTTGGGGAGGAGCTCTCCTCGTCCTCAGTTGAATGGCTTTGCTCTCCAGAAGCCTCCTCGGCCCCTCATACGCTGTTGGGAGGCTCGTGTGGGGCTGCCCCTCCTTGATGGGCCGTAGCTTCTGTGCATCTCCTCAGCAGGCGTACAAGCCCTCCATGGCCTTGGTAGTAACCTTGGAGTACCCCTCCTGTTCGGCATATATCAGGTCCAAGAGCTGCGGAAGAGGACGGGTGCTTCCATCAGCAAGTGCCGAGATGCCCTAGCCGATGAGGGTAGGCAGGCAGTCTTGCGTCGTCTCCAACGTGACTGGTGTTGGTGCAGGCGGCGATGTCGAGAAGGCTATGACGTGGTTGAAGAAGAGGGGGATCCAATCAGCCAGTGAGAAGACCTTCCGACGGGTATAGAGGGGGGGGAGGTAGGATTAACATGCGATGGTCCTCTATAGGCCGGGGAAGGCGTGGTAGCAGCAGCAGTCCGTGGTCACTATGGAGCTCTGGTTGAGGTAGAGAGGGACGCTCTCGCCTCGTGATGCTGTCATTGAGTAGATCTCATGCGAGACGGATTTTGTTGGTCGGACCCCCCTCCTCGTCGAGTTTGCTCACACGCTAGCGGACTTGGTCACCGAGACGCCTTATGTTGGCTCTGGTGTCGAAGGCCTCCTCGTGGAGGGCATGCTTAAAGGGTGGGCCTCTCGAGAGTTCATGTCGATGATTATCATCATCAGACCAGTCAAGGTCGACACTACTCTTGTTATGGAAGACCACCGTCCGAGGCAGGAGCTACAGAGCTTGAAGGTCAGCGATGCTATCTTGGAGATCAGCTCAATTCTGGGGGAAAATATCGGCCTCAAGCGGGTGGCCACTATAGGGCATTCACCAGGTAAAAGACTGGCTCTGCGTTCTTTGGCGTTTATGCAACTTCCACGACTGTAATTTATCGAGACCATATGCTTTCAGACACCACCCCTCCCGATTCGCACATCTACCATTACGTCCACTCAGCAATCAATGGCAACCAATGTCGGGACGTCGGCAAACTAGCGAGTCTGGTGATGGTGGGGAAGTCCGGCCAAGTAGGTCTGGGGACGATACCATGTGGTTACTTGTCACCACCACAGGGAGGCGGTATGGTCGATGAAGACGCCCTGGCCTTCATCGGCAAGGTCATCGCCATGCAAGTAGTGGCTAAACGACCGAAGTACATCCAAGTCGGGGACGTTCCTAAGGGTGGGAAGGCCTGAAAAAGAGTAGTGGTGATGCGCTGTCGTAGATGTACTTGAGGCGGAGAGGCAGATAGGGAGGGCTGCCCATTTGGCATCTACTGCGGCAGGAGGGAAGGAGATCCCCGACCAAGTCTTGGAAAAGATCCTCGATGGTACTCTCTCAGCTGAGGGGGGGGATATTTTTGCGAGTGTGTGCAGGTAAGGCCGCCAAGATGCGTGCTGAAGATACGTTGTATGAGATGGAGATCCTTCTGCCGCCATCGTCGGGCCAGTCAGAGAATAACAAGGCTGAGACAGTTGGTGGGCGGAGCGTAGCGATTCATGTTTGGTTATTTTTATCGTCAGGAGAAAGGCTGCGGAAGCTTGGCTTGGTCGTTCAAGATTTCCGCTTTATGGGAGTGGGGTTGTGATGCATGGTACTTCGTTTCGAAAGAAAAGGGTTTCGGTGAAAAGTTGATAGCAATTGAGCTTCATAATACCACCGTTGAGGCCGCCTTCATGACAGTTGTAATTTATTCATCATGTCTTCCACCGACCTCAGTAAGTTCGATGGTGTCTATCTATCAGTAGCCCAGCAGGTGGGGGCCATCGAGCCTCTGTTGGACTCCTTCTTTAGCTTCCTTGAGAGGAAGACTGACTTTATGACGGGTGAGTGAGGGAGGGGTCTTCGGTTCACTGCAATCCACATTTCAGGTGAGACTAGTCCTGGCGCTGCTCAAGACATGGTCACGAGATGCTTTGATAAGTATTATCAGATTGCCATGCAGCGGAAGGAGGCTGATGCTGTGAGGAACAAGTAAGGCTGTGGCCCCTATGGTTCGTATGAGTAATCCTTAGGCGTGAGGATGAGGAGAGGAAGGCGCGGGCAGAGGCTCAGAGGAAGGCCGATATGGAGGAATATGAGGCTCGGAAACGTCGACAGGAAGTGGAGGAGGAGAAAGAGCCCAAGATAGTAGAGGTAGTGGTGGTGGAGCGAGAGGCCGGTCGAAGAGTTCAATGGTAGGTAACGGAAGAGGAGGAAGAGGCGATCAAGAAGGATGAGGTTATGAAGGTAGTCTTAGTGATTGGGGGCTGTTGCTACTTGGAAGGTGTCCTCTACAGGAGGCTGAAAAGGAGAATACTGATGATGATAATACGGAGGAGGGTGAAGATGGTACCCCTCCTCCTCCTGGCAATGGTGGCAGCACTGATAAATACACTTGGACGCAGACTCTCAGTGTAGGTCTACGGATGGTGGGGTCTCTCTAGTACTCTTACACAGGCCGTTGAGGTGTACATCCCAGTGAGGCCTGGCACTCGCGCTAGGGACGTCAAGATAAGCTTGGGAGCCGACAAGGTGGGCATTACACCACGTTAGGATTGCTTGACTGTCGTCCTGTAGGTGACGGTGGCTACCAATGCTGAAGGGGAGATCATTAAGGGCGAATGGAATGGCCGTATCAAAGCTGATGATTCTATGTGGACTCTCGAAGACAACAAGATGATACATGTAGTGCTCGGGAGGCCGCCCTCAGGGCTAGTATCCTCTTCTTAGTTGTCGTTGGACAAGTACGATGGCATGAGGTGGTGGTCGTGTGTTGTGAAGGGTGATGCCGAAATCGATACGAAAAAGATCGTACCGGAAAACTCCAAATTGAGTGACCTCGATGGAGAGACAAGATCGACTGTGGAAAAGATGATGTGGGGAAGTCGCAATGTTGGGGATGTCGGAGGGTATGGGATCAGGTACGATCAACAGAGGAAGCAAATGGGGTTACCGACGAGCGACCAGCAGAAGCAGGCCGATCTATTAGAGAAATTCAAGAAGGCCCATCCCGAGATGGATTTCTCCAACGCTAAGATCAACTATGGTGGAGGGATGAACCTTTAGGAGTTTCTGCTATGATGAGGCTATTGCTCGACTTCTTTTTGGTAGGAGTAGAACACGTAACACACACCCGATTGGATATCGCAGTGTTGTGTTCATCATGGGGGGTGTCACCGCCATTATAGTGATCTAACCCGTCGTGTAGCACATGTATGTCGACCATTGGAGCACTTCTTATCGAACTTACCCACGTCTTTGGGGTGGGCGTATGCTCCTGCTGCCACGAGTATGAGATAATATTAGGAACGTGAGAGCGAAGAAATAACCTCGGGATGATGGGAAATAGTTTCACTGGTAACACAATATTCAACCCATGGGAAATCATGATAATTTACAAGGGCTTCTGCCTGGATGCCGCAGTTTCCATCCTGCCCAATAAAGGGCTCCATAATTAGCGAACAACTCGCTACCTAAAATGGACACACTTCTTCCACCCCCTATGGTGACACCCTCACCCTCCTCAATATCTCGTATTGCAACGATAACAGCGCAGCCCTCTTTGGGTCTCTTGTCAAAGCGGACATTATAATACTCCGCATTACGACAATCGTTTATGTACCTCCCAGGGGTATCAACATCATCCGAAGCGTCTATGTAACTGATGTACCATCGACTTGATCATATTAAAGAGCAGCAGCCTACAGGGACACCCCGAGTCGCATCAAGTACATCCTGTCGGCCTCTTTGGGTGGATTCCTCCTCAACAAGGTGCCTATCCAGTATAGTAGCCCCGAAACGGGAGGAGGCTGCTACCGTCGTAAAAGCATATCTCCTCTCCACTGCTTCTCCTCACTGATGTGAAGAGACCCAGCCCACAGTGCGGCAATATTGACTCCTTCGCGTAGAGGCCTTTATCAGGCCAGGACAAGGCAGTCATCCACCAACTACTGTTGCCGACACGCCAGTTAGTAAGAGGACCCTGAAGCTCCTCCTTGGTAACGGTCGACCGCTCTCTACAAGGGAGTAACTCTCCCACCAGCACGAACTACGCTTGCCACCACTCCGTTGACACAACACAAGCATTATCGTTCCTACGCTATTGTAACATGAAAATCTTTTGAAAAACTCCGAGATAATGAGAGGCAGCCCTCACGCGTTGGGATAGGTCCACTCCGTACCAGGTTGGTATCTTCCCATCACCACTTAGCCGGAATAGTAGCAGCCACTTAGCTCACTTCAGAAGCTCATAGAGTTGTTTCCTAGTCTGCATCTTTCCCTCATGCTGTTTCAATCCTTGTTCGCTCTTCAAGTGCCTCAAACATTCATCCGCGGCTTTCATCGCACAACGAAGTGTCGACACCGGGTATATCACGCAATTATAACTATCACCAACAACAAGTTGGACATGAAGTAACGTCTTTTGGACTCACCCTGCTGATGCAAATTCGTCGAGTTTAATCGCATCAGTCTTGCCGAACTCTGTCATATTAGCCAACAGGAAAGGACCCCCCTGAGGGGCCAAATTCATTTCACCAAGCCTCTGCATCTGCTCGGCAAAACTAAAGAAAACCCATTACGTCGATAAATGCAGGGAACTTGATCACGCTCGGAAATCCTCGATCGTGGCAAGGCCCTCTGGGAATATCATATCAGCGCCAGCCTCGACGTACTGGAGAACGAGTCACCCCTTCAGCTAAGTAGCGACACCTCACCTGCTTTGCTCGAGCAATGGCCTCCTCCATACCGTGGGTGCTGTAAGCATCGGTACCTTTGAGAGTTGCTCACCGGAGGGAATAAGACTAGTTCGTACGAGCACAGATGATGAAGTGATCGCTTTCTCCATGATAGGCCGCATCGGCAGCTGCCCGTGCTCGTCGGACCTTCCCCATCATCTCATCGGCTGAGACCAGCGTTTTCCCCTCCTGTGGAATCCCCATTATCATGTCACTGTAATGCTTCCTACAAGATGACCACATCTCTTGGGGAACTCCTGATCCTCGATATGAAGACCTGCTGCCCCTGCAGCGATGTACTCTCTAACCGTTTTGGATACCATCTCGTCCGACCCAAAACCTGTGTCCGCGTCGCATATGAACGGCAAACCACCAGAGAAGGCCACAACCTGAAACTGTGGAATTCTCAACAGTGCTCCACTCGCGAAGTGAATTTCTAGTGTAGTTTTTCCCTCGTAAGCGCCAGAAGCCAACCAGTGGGGAATCAATTTACATGGTGATTCAAGCTTCGACAGTCCTTCATCGCCAAATTCAAGGCTATCGAACCAGTATTTCCAGCATCGTCAAAGAATGCTTGCGAGCAACAACGAGTTTACGAGATACGAGTGGCAAAGCATAGCGCATCATCATCACTAAACCATGTATGATGGCCTTCATATCCTTGATTGAATGCGGTAGATGAGTGTTATGGTAACAGTCACCATCGTGGCATTTGTAGTATGATACAGGTTCACCACACGGCACCGGTCATACACTACAATACATCACATCTCCGTATTGACAATGTGACTTGACCACAATGCTTGCTGGTTGTAGCGTTGCCTCGGTCCCATACTTCGGACAGGAATTAAGTCTCCCTCTTGGGCTGGCCGTTCTGGTGAGGGAGCAGCTACTACGACTCCCCTATGCATGGTATATTCCGTTGGTATTCAGTATTCCCTCATTTCACCTCAATTAGGCGGTAGATGACGACACTAATACGATAATGACATGGCGCGCTTCATTGGCGCGCCTTCACCCCTCTCCTCTTCTCCCCTATAGCAGTAGTAGCATTATGAATCCACCACTGTAGTCGCATTGTGTGGATGACTTATGCTACATCACCTTCAACCTGATCGAAAGTCATTGATCTGCCTCTCACCTACAGGCTGAAAGATACCATTGTGAGAGGGTCTCTTTCGGCTGATGTATAGCATTAGATTAGGCGCGGAATTACAGATATACTTCCCCGGTGAAAGTTAGTATTTTGAGGCGCGATTTTAACACGTGTATGCTAAGAATATGCGGAGAACATGTTTTACCACTTTTCGACTTTTCACTAACTACTAAGAGTGTTAAGAGCCTAAGAGCCTTGAAACTTGGAGGTTATATCCTGTGGAGCATGAGAGCATACCTCCCTGAGCCGCAATATGGTACTCGTTGAGGTGACTGTGCACGAGCCGAAAAACCGAATATGCTTAGAATATGTGGAGGGGTGTATACTGACTCATCTGAAACCCGTACAGGGTCAGCTATGGGGGAGATGGCTTGTTCTGAAGAGCTTGAATATACATATAAACGTTCCTACCACTCGTCCTCTATTTTGGGGGACTCAAACCGAGATCTCAAAGGGGCATAGTGACATACCTCTTTGATCTTGTCAGTGAACTGATCGAGTGTGAGAAGGCCGATATCAGGCACGCCGCTTGCTGCTGAAAGTGCACCTCCCGACACGTATCCTCCAACGAAACCATTAACTGGGAGCATCCTGAGGAAATTAGCATCCTAGGAAGCTGCATCGAAGTAGTCTCACCTTGCAACGAGACCATTGAAGGCTCCTGGCAGCTGAACACACTGTGATGAGCGCATGAGGGTACGTAGCCGTCTACCCGCACTGTTCATTATATTCCCACTGGGCGGCACACACATAAACACACTACCAGAAACAAACAACTCACAACGTGTGGCTAAACTAACATAAGACTATCACTCACTGCGAAGACTAACCTGAGATCACTAATGCCGATGAATCCAGAACCGCTTATACAGTGCAATACCGACCAACTCAACCCAAGGCTGAGCCAATGAAGAACGGTGGCAAAATATCATAGACGATAAACAAGTGATATTTGGAGGAATTCGATAGTACATGAAGTCCCGTCGTTGGTCGTAATGGCGCTGTACAATAGGAAGCTCCACGGAGTTCCTCAGAGTTTTCTTCCGTCGAAACCACATCTCACCAACGGAGATGATATAGGGGTAGTGACAGGGGGAGTCTACGATGAGTAGAGAGGATGCTCAACAGCACAGGGAGTCGACTTGAACGAAAATAGAGTTGGTCCTTCGAAGAAATACAAAAACAAAGTTGGTACACACGAGCTCCCCTTCGACGTCATCATCACGTCATTGCAGGCAATTCCCCACGACAAGTCGGACACTCCATCTTTACCTGATCCCAACCATCAACGACAACAATAGCAGAGCCGCAACCTACGTCCATCCATTGCTCAAGACAAGCAGCATGAAATATATGATCACAGGGAGTAATCACAGGGCGCGACTCCGGATCGTGGACCTCCGATAAATCGATATCGTTCATGCAGATAACCTGAACATACAATGCAAGCTGCTTCACGCGCCACAAAATTCCCTACGCATTCCGGAGCCCCAAGCTCTTCATCCTGCACTGAAGGCACTGCTCTATAGTAGTTATAGACGTGTGGTAGGCAAATCCACGGAACCTGGCATCAGACCTTGCCATACACGTCGGGATCATCGCCGACTTACGAAAGACCTGGGGCCAAACCTGGCCTGGGCCCACATAATGGCTATTTGTGCTACTTGCAAACACACTATCAGTGTGGCTTCGGTCGAGTTTGGTGCTGATGCCAATGCTGGGTACACCTGTATATAAGCAAACGATGGATATCCAATATAGATCGTGATGAGGTAAAATACGAAGAAGAGTTGTCGGTCGCATAAACGGCCAACCTCAGCAACGTTCTACAAGCTGTAGTGGTGGTTTGGTTTCTCTCCGTTTTACACTTTAACGAGCATAAATTTCGTACTCGTACTTAATCCGTACACTACTGTGAACTTTCACCCTCTTCTTCGACATAACGAGTTACTTCAACCGAAAAATGCATGGTACAGGATTCGAACCTGGACCCCACAAACTACACCTCTCCACATATTCTTAGCACACATGCTGTGCAGCTCATGATTCATCGAAGAAGTCGAGTTCACCCTGATATTGGAGTAAACTGACTCACTGACGTCCTGGTATTGCAGGGGAGGAAAACGGAATGTTATTGAACATCTATCGATTAACTCTAGTTTGATATTATCATCGTATTTTACTTTTCGAATGAGTGACACAACTAGTAAGCTGGGAATATGTGGAGGTCTCCAAGTGCGTAAACCAGAGTAGCAGTGGAGTGGGAGTCTGAAACCTTGCTAGATTAGTGACAGTGTTACAAAAGCTTTTATATTCAAATATCAGGGTGAAACTCGACTCTTTCGATGAATTATGAGCCCACCATGTGTGCTAAGAATATGTGGCGTCGCACGACTCAAAATCCATATCAACCAACCCGAGACTATCTCAGCTTCTCCCCACTCTAACGAGAGTAGAAGGCACACGTGAGGAAGCGCTCAAACAATGAGCGGCTTCAAGAGCGTCTCAGAGAAGTTTCGAAAATTCAATGTGTCATGTCCCCCGTTATGACCTCGCCATTAAAGATGGTATATGGACATGCCAGTGCATACAAGGGGACAATCATCCTTGTTATCGATATACCCACTATGAAACGCCACGACAGAGGCCTCTTGTGACCTCGGACGATGTCGTATACTATTTGAGGTACCTGCCATCAAGGGACGATTACTTCCACACAAACGTACTTAAACTACTACTACTACCCAATAGCACTGCATGATGATGATAAGAACGTTCAAATACTGGTAGAAATTATACAGAATCACCATACCGACCAACAAGGTGCCTAATGGGCGCACACTAGTGAGAGTAGCACTACTGTAAGAAGCTACTACCATAAAAGCGTGAGTAAAGCCAGCCGAGCTCTCGTCGTATTGAATCCATACCTCCCTCATTGAACTGATTCTGTCGACGACTCCGCCAAACAAGCAGTAGATACCGCACCTGTGAAGATGATGCAATGATCAAGGGCTACCTATCGAAGATTAGTGCTGACCTCTAACATGCTAAAGAGAATGAACTTGAATAGAGCGACGACTGAGAAGGTGTTGAACATGAACCTGAGCAGTCCACAGTCTAACAACCACACCGTGTATGATGCCGCCGCTGCCGCCTTACTGAGCCGATAGACCCAAGAATAGGTGTATAAGTGAGTCGTAAGCATCCATGAGGGCTTGAATACCGATACACAATAGAGACACCTGACTCGGGAGTCTTTACCAATCAGATGGATAAAGCAAACTTCGCCTGTGTGACCCAAACTCACTTTAGCGTGGCCATTGTTGTTCTCACCATGCTGCATTTGCAACAGAAAGAATCGAATTTGTAAGATAGTTATGATCTGAATTCAAAATACTCAAGACTTCACTCCCAATACTTACATTATTTAAGATTGAGTAATTTATCACTTTCCTCCCCAGTTTTCTCACATCGATCTCTCGCAGAGTCATACTGAAAACAATAACGTAATGCACCGGGAAAAGTTCATCTGAACCATAATGACCACCTCAACAGCGAACCATAACTTGCTCGAATCCAGAAGGTCGCCATAGAATAGTTGAATATGGCAAACACAAAAGGAGTGGTGTTATAAAATTTGGTGTCTTCAGCGTAACAAAGGCTTTCAAGAAGCAGACGACATCACCCTGTTAGTGAAGTCTGACGGACTCAATCAGGAAATACGCGATGTAATCTTTAAACACAGTTGATATTTTTTTCGTAAAGAAATATATAAGACCCATTTGACGTGCATATAACCATATGATTACACGTAGTATCACCAACGATGATGATCAATCCAAATCTGAGTATGGCCTGCCGATGCTACCTGATTTTGAATCCGCAGTTTTCACTCACAACCGTTCCAACAGCAATTTTCTTGCCGTCCAATGGCAGAACGTCGCCCTCATTCACCTCGTCTCTAGAGGGTGTATGTATCTCCAGCAAAAGGCCATAGGCGAGAATGAACACCATCCGAATTGGGAGGAAGGAACCCTTCAATGTGCTCGAGTCCTCCTGTTATACTCCCAAGAAGACTTACCATAATCCTCGCTGGACCAATGTCGCACACTGGCTGAGTCAGCCCTGCTAGACGGAATCTTGACAGGTCCGAGCGACCGGAGAGTATGAGCTCTTCCTGAGGGCCTGAATGAGCATCTATGATAAGTTCGTGATGGGCCCGTCTTGATTACGCATGCCGAAGCTGTTCATGGCGAACATGTTGTTTTGAAACCCGATGGCTGGGGAGAGTTGCAGCTCATGCCACTCGCCATCGTAATCGAAACGCAGAAGCACTTCCGATAAGGACATCTACGAAGTGAGCGAGTTATGGTATGACGAGTTGCCTTACTACCATCTTCATGCCGGCTCCTTTGGAAATCATATGCAACTTCACCTCGCCCTCGATGGTAGGTACACCCTCGCTAGCCGGAGACTAACGACAAGATTCAAAATAGGTCCGGTGAGCAACCATTCTCACATCAGCCAAAGGCGTCATAGTATAAACTCCTCGATATATCGAACTGGGCTTCCCTACGTTGCTGCTGTCCAATGCGGCTAAAATGAGATGGTCAGTAAATCAGGAAAAGGCAGAAGATATCTACCTGCGAAGTTGGAAGCGTATCGATGGTCTGCTGAAGAAGCTTCTGAGTCGATCATGAGCCAGAAGCCAATAACGAGGATGAACCCCAATAGTACATCACTCCTATCACCAACAGTAAAGGACGGGAGGCTCTGCAATATTACCATCGCCAATGGTTGGTAGTAGGTGAGGGTTGGTTCCATACCGAGGCTCTTGAACCGAGGCTTACGGGAGGCATTAGACTTTCTGTTCGAATTTTCACTGTCAATGGTTCTGGTCTGTCGCGAGGCGTTCGCGTTTACAAGTAATAACCGCGCTCGCCGTTGTAATCGATTCGTTGTCATGTTATGAAGGACCCCGAGACTATAGTATGCGACGCGGATGACGTTGCAGACATAGCAATACTGGAGTGAATCAATGATGAATATGCCAACATCCACGGGAGACGGTTACAGAGGTCTCGTCGGTTACAGATATGGAAAAAGGGGTTATAGTAGCACACGCCACAGTCGGGCATTTCATAATCTCCACAGTCACCGCCTACTCATCGTCAGATCGATAATGCACAGTATGTCGATATTCAGCTTCAACCTCTTCGTTGCTTCCCGACTCGGAGCTCCTGAATTTGATTATGTACTGAAGATCATCCATCTGACGCATGATTTCTTACACAAACTCATGGTTCTTGGGGTGATCCTGCATCTGCATCAATCGATCAGACTCAACTTGCAATATCACGATGTTTCGCTCTTGATCCTGACAAGAATGTAGGTCGTAATTCCAGCCGTTGAATTCAGCATTAGCGCATGCTTGAAAGATGCGCTTGAGTGTGATGGTCACATTGTGATCGCTACAAGAACGAGCGCAAATATGTAAGAGGCGCGGATTCGATGCTCTTCGGAGACTTCATTTCGTACGCAGTTTCCCAATTGTGTTCGGTTGAGATATAACGTGTTGTATTGGGTAGTAGTACTGCCGTATTATGAAAACGTTTCATTTTGAAAGTGAGGGACTGCTCTACGAGCCAGGATTGTTGTTTAGATATTGATACTCTCATCACAATAGCAATTCCAAGTACGATGGGTGTATTTCGATAGAGTTTGAAATATTTCTGCTCCAAAGTCATGCATCAGCATCAACTTGGTTTGTCGGTGCAGAATACCTCCGTGACGGAATCAGCGTGAGAAGTCGGCGTTTTGTGAGTCTGATCACTCACTCAGAATCAGTAATTCAGTATCACTAATCGGAATAGAATATAGATATTGCATGCGGATGGCTGCAGGTGGTCACTTCTGAACACTGCATACGGATCATTGCAGTTGGACATCTGTGGAAATTGCATTTGGTGTATGCGTGAATGCCATTCACGATGCATGGCGATCGATGATATATCTGTCAGGGCGTGAAGTTGATTATAACCTTCCGAGGGTCCGTTAGCAACACCTTGAACTATGGACGGGAAAGCTGACCAGCAGATCACTCAGAAAGGGGCGATGCACGATGTGTGATCACTCACTTCATTGACAACGCTGCTCCGCCTCACAATAGATATTGGTACTTGAGGTAGAAGCTAACAAAACTCAGACTTACATTTACAGAGAACATGATTGGCGCCTAGCGCTAGAGGGACAATAAAGCTCCTCACGACAGAAAGCTGCGCGATATGACAAGGCGCCAAGAGAATCAAATACTGTGATGATCACCGTATGATCGTGTTATGATTACATAACGACAGAGCGAAGTCCGTAGCCCGCACCTCATTGTCGAGGGATTCGGGGTGATTCATGAGCAACAGTGACCAACGATCGACGATTATTATACTATTCCCATAACTCGTCACTCAGTCCATTTTCGTTTCTATCGCTCGCTCCATTGGTGTTCCATGACGTCTACCCATGTGGTGCTCCACGCGCCATCTCGAGGTGCGAGGCCACGGGTGATGCGACCCGAGGGGTTTGAGCCACGCATCCGTTTTCCCCATTCGTATTCGATAGTAATAGTCTGCCCATCCTATAACGGCTTCAACTCAAACTACAACAGTATAGCCGATTAATTAGCTGCATGACATGCAGCTATCCATCCCGTGATCGCACGTCTACACGCAGTACATGTACACGTGCGTTTCACCTGTCTAAGACAGGTGAACGGTTATTCACGTTTTCTCTTGTCATAGGGGGATACCTCCACCTTGGATGGTACCAGTATTGAGTAAAGAGGACAAGAGTAACTCACCTGAAGCGATGTTCACCATAACCAGCTGCGCTGAAAGTGCACCTCGTAAATCTAGTTCTTGATATCGTATTCTTTCGTTAAAGTCGTACCGCAAGTTGTTCCCAAACGGTACCAAAACTTTGTTGATGTTCTTCCCCAGTATTATGCTCATATTTTTATTCCCATCCCTACTGCAATTTCTGTGCTCGACTGCTGGCAACACGGGATGGCGGTTTGACTCGTTGGTTGACATCTATGCTCGATACGCCGTGGGTCCATCGTATGGCATCATCCTTGATCCTATCCGCTCCCATTAGGAGCCTCAAACCTTGGAAAATAATCCACCTGTCACCGTCGCTTGGTGGCTTGAAACTATAGTGAAGGTCTCTCGTGATCATCGAAAGGCTGGTAGAAAGCATCCTGGTGGTCCGACAATCCTACTTATGTGGCTCACTCAACTGCAAGAGTTGGAACCCATCAGGTGCGTCTGACCCGGCTCCCCCATCATACTGTTGCAGATACCTCACTGAAGTTGAACAGGACCTGCAGATAGTAGCTCTGCTACCACCACACTCATCTGGTGATCGTATAAGCACACCTCCATTAGGAAGCATGCATGGGGTATTCATAGGAGAGTACCCGTCAGATGAGCGTAAGGAGAAGCCTGTCCTTATCCTATCGGAATCCGTATGCTCGAGGGAGTCCTTCACGACTGAACTGTGGTTTCAAGACTGATTACTTTGGTTGTTTCGATTCGAACACGCGAAGGAGCTGGAAAACAGAAGTTCGCGTTGAACAGCATATGAAGGGATACTGCGGGGCAGCCATTAACACACCACTGCCTCAGGCGACCTACTGCGGTTCCTGCGCCGATTCCGCCTAGCATGCCGTATGCAAATACTACCTGCAGCTCTAGTAGAGATGGCCGATATCCTAACGGATGCGTGTAAGCCGTGTACAAACCATTACCGATAAAGACACAATAACAGGCTACGAGACGATCGTCGAGGATGTATCTACTGCTGAGATCATCAGGGTCCGATCTCCCAGTAGTGTTCTATCATCCTTCGCCATCCACAACTCCTACAGGTTTAAAAACAGCGCCCTCCTCCTATGGCATACCCTTTTCATCGCTTCTTGCACTGCCATCCGGGCTGTGGCCCACAGCGGCTGCGATCCAACTCATTGAGGTTTAGATATCGTTGCTGTCCTGTGCACCCCTGCCTGCCTCATGTAGTCATCATAACCTTACTTGAATCGGCCCTTGGGCAAAGATGCGCTCACATGAAGAGCACTGAAGAGATATGGTCTTGTGAGAGTTGAATCATCTAGTCGAACTCACCATCGACTCTCAGGTCTTGCCTTGATTGTTGATGACGCCGGTTTAGAGGTGCTCGGGGCTAAAGCAATTGTCGGAGAGCAATGTGAGACCTTTTGGGGTCAACATGAAGGGTGAGTCACCCTTCATGTTGACCCTTCATGTCACCCTGGGTGACTCCCTCAACTGCTTTAGGCAGTATCACGCCCGAGTGGTGCTCCAATCAGGGGTACATTCTGGGGGAGTGGTCCGAGAGTGGGGAGTGGTAGGGTACGCGCAGTGCTGATGTAACTAAGGCAGCCCATAGGGAACTGAGCCCATCATCACTGCAACGAGCAGAGGAAATCGTCTGTGTCGTAGAAGGTCCATCTGGTGGTCTTCCGGTCGACTTGCACCGAGATATGCATGAGTCTAATCCTGCCCGGGACACCCCAACGCCTCGTCGGAATCTGCGAGTGCAGCCTTATGATGACTCGCAATTAGATGAACTCCTCCAGCTGCTCAATGATGCATCATCAGAATATGCTAGTACGGTGACCTATAGATTCATTAGCTTTCCGAGGGATGATTCAAGGTGACTCGAAGGGCGAAAAAGAGGTCCCTGATGGCGACTGGCCCCTCATGGCGGATGAAGGGTTCTCAGACGGAAAAGAGGAGGACAGTTCACTTGATAAACTCGGTTATGGAGAATTTTATGACACCGATGGTGCGTTGGATACGTGGAGCGAACGGAATCCACGGAGGGGCAGCGGTGAACGTAACGTGATCATATGAAGGACATTCGGGGTCTTGCAGGAAAGAAAATAAACAGTGACAAAGCTATCGAGGCGATGCTCGATGCGGACACACTGGAACAATTCGAGACAGATTTCGAGCAAGCTTCTCGGAAACTTCTGGAAGGTCTGATCACCAAGGTAGTTTATTGTTGACACTCGTTGGACCCAGGAACCGTTCAAACTCGTCTTATCGCCCTTGTCCACCACCAAGCTAGTTTAGCATCCTCGATGATTTCTGAGATTGTCTCTGAGACTGATGGCAAGGTATTCTGAAGAGCTCAGTTGTGGATATCATATCACATGGTTCGTTTGCAGGCAGTCTTAGTGGTACCTTCTACCTCGACACCGATCATCAGAGTATCGGACAATGTTAGGAATGTTTCAGTGCTGACCATGAAACCCTCCACAGAGTGGTTCGGTGAGTGTGGTGCTGGCGGCTTCTACCCCCCTCCCTCTCTGCTCAGATCTACTGACTCGGGGCTCGTCCCAGTCACGGCTTGACACCCTCCTCATTGGGTTCGAAGAGCTCTTTGGAATGTGGGCGGCTGAGATTGCTCGAAGGCCTCCTAATGGCGGAGGAAGAGTCTCTTGTAAAAGCCATCGTTCCGTAGGGACAACATGTCTGATGATAGGTCAGCAACTCTCCGAAACTCTGATGAAAATCGTCGAGAGCCTTGCTCGATCAACCGATGAGCTAATCTTGGAAGTTCCTTCCTGTTCAGCTCTCGTGATGACTCTCTACAACCAGCAGTCCTCGTAGGTGTTCCTTCCTGATCAGACCAACTTGCTGCAGCAGATGTTGTGGCGTCTACCATGCATTGAGAGTGTCTGGAACAATGCGACGCAGATGCTAGAGTTGATGACTGGTGCGCATGGTGCTGAGAAATCAGACCATTGTGATTCAAGGTAAG